TCGGACAAAAAGTTTGGCAGTCTACTTCTGAAAAATCAGTCATGGTAAATCTTGTGGAGTACGGTTGTATTCTGATACACATGGGGTCACCATGACTCACAGCTGACTCGATGGTAACTGGTCTTTATGATTTAAGTGCTAGGCTAGTAGAGAAGAAAATGTCTACCACAGGTGGAGTAGCAAGGGAAGGCTTCCTGGAGGAAGCAAAATTTCAGTTAGAGCTTTGAGAACGGGTAGGAATTAGATGATAGAAAAGAGTGGGAAGGACAGTTCGTGGCAGATACAAAAGAAGTACCTAACGAGAATATACAGGGCACATTCTGGTAAAATGCACAGACTGGTCTTGCAGGAGATGGTATTACATATGGGAATAACTAAACATAAGGTTTTTGGTAAATGGTAAAACAAAACCAAAAACCAAACCCGTTTCCGTTGAGTCGATTCTGACTCATAGCTGTCCTGCAGGACAGAGCAGAACTGCCCCATAGGGTTTCCGAAGAGCGGCTGGTGGATTCGAACTGCCGGCCTTTTGGTTAGCAGCCTGAGCTCTTAACCACTGTACCACTAGGGCCCCCTGGTAAATGGTAATGGGTCTTAAATGCTGGGCTAAAGAACTGCTCTTTATCTTGCACATAATGGAAAGGCAGTGAAGGTTTCTGAGCAGGAAAGAAACATGGCCAAATAATATAATCTAGAAAGCCCGCAAGTATACAATGTTCACTCTAGTGTTATGAACCGTGCTGCTGTGAAAAAAATCTCTTTCATTATACTAATACTTAGTAAATCACTGAAGACCTACTTCAGAACTCCAAGGAAAACATTTTATGAATCAAAAGCTAAGTACAATATGTTAGCAATTAAATGAGATAACATAATAGCTGAGGCAGAACCACAGTTTTCCCCACCACAAGTTCAAGCTGCTGCAGAAAGAAATGCTTATATCATCTTCCAAGTTATCAAGCCATTTTGTTTTGATTTTTGGAAGGCAGGCAGAGAGGAGAGAGAAGACAGAGGTCAAGAGGATTCAAAGCTGTCTATTCTTTAAACAGAAAGAATTATTAAGAAGTGTTATAAAGGAGGTTTGCTAAAAACGAAACCAGCCCAGGGAGGGCTCTCAGGTTCCTGCAACTTGCTTCCACTTCAGAACAACAACCAAAGGTGTGTCCTTGGGAAAGGTACTCCCACCAGTGCACTCTGCCCAAGTTTCCGGGGCATACCTCCCACTGCTACTTTATTTACTGCAGCTGGCCAACGTTTTATAGCCTGTTTCATGTATTAAAATTCAAATGTGGAAAACATTACCACTATCCTCCTTGAATTTTTTTGTTGTTGGGGGAAGGGGGTGGGTTTTTTTTTTTTTTTTCTCTCCCCTTCAACTTCCTTTTTATTGTGGAATGTATCAAATGGTCAAAGACTGACTAAATGCAAAAAACGATTCCCTTTGTTCTCATGCTTTTGTTTTAAAATTCATACCAGTTTGCACAAGGAAAGGAATACCAATCCAATCTCCTCTGCACACGTTAGCGGTGCAGACTGAGGAACTCAGATTCTGTGGACTCACTGCATGGTGTTTCAGGGCAAAGGATGAACACTGCAAAAGCCTGTTGGGTTTGTGGGGCAGCAACTTGTCAATACAGCACACCTTTGGAGCTATGCTATTATCTGCGTGGCTCTAGACTGAATGTGGCTGACCTAGATTGAATTATAAATGTCTGCAGAGGAGTGAACGGGAACTTCTCCTCATCAGCAAAATTAGCAGCTTTATTGCTTCTGCAAAGATGTTGCTCCCCGCCACCCCCAAATCAAGTCAAATGTGTTTCTGTTTAATATTGTCTGATTATCTCCTTTGCTACTGCTCTGTTTCATTCTCTCCCTTGCTCTTCCACCTGGGTCAGTCCATCCCCCTGCCACCCTAAATATCCAAAAAGGAGTCTCCTCTTCTCCTCCCATCCCAAATCTGATTCACACTCAAAGAAGAGGCGATTCAAACGTCAAACCATTCCAAAAAGCATCTATGTATAGTTTAATATTTTAAAGAACCGCTTAACCTACATCTGCTATTTAAGAGCAAACTTTACATATTTATGGAAAAAACTGTCTCTGAAGCAATGCCCTGGGTGCATGCTGCATCGTTTAACATATGCAAAATGAACACAGCTACAGAAATTAAACTATTTTTCTCTTGATTGAGAGCAGATATACAGAAACGGTTCTAAGTCACAGATCTGGCTTTTAATAAAGCCAGATTTCTTAATTAAAAGCAGTATTGTTTAAACATTGTAGTTTTTTTAAAAAAGCGCTGTACAGACTGAAATCTCATACTCTATGCATCCCAAGTGTATTTAACACATTACCTGAGGCCAAGCTAAATTAAAATCTAGACTTTCCTTTTGTAAACTCTTAGCAACTGCCATGAACGACAAACTATTTTTCTCAATGATGAATTTTTAGGTAGAGGTCAAGGGAAGGAAAAAAAGAAAAACAGATTTAGCTTTGGTATTCAAAAATATTTTTCCACATTTTAGAAGTGTGTTCATTGCTTCTATTTATAAACCAGTATTTTTGGTTTCAAACTGGTTGTGGGTTTCAAGATACACCACTAGGGATGGTGCTTTTAATCTTAGTCTTTTATTAAGAGAAATTAAAAGGAGGGCAGAAGAGTATCATTGAGCAGAAATCTCAAGATAATTTGTACTTATTTTGAATTCTCCTTTTGGAACCATCTTTAAACCGGAGATGCTACAGTGACAACGGAGAACAGACCTTCATCCAAGCAACTTTTTTCAAGAGTCTATAAGATACAAAAGGAGCCCTGGTGGCGAAGTGGTTAAACGCTCAGCTGCTAAGCGAAAGGTTGGCAGTTCAAACTCACCTAGCAGCTCCACAGGAGAAAAGCCCTGGTGACCTGCTCCCATAAAGATTATAGCCAAGATGTGGGGACCATGGTCTCGGGGAACATCTAGCTCAACTGGCATAACACAGTTTATAAAGACAATGTTTTACATTCTACCTTGGTGAGTAGCATCTGGGGTCTTAAAAGCCTGTGAGCA